ATAAATCCTACTATATATAAAAAAAAATAGTGTTTGTGTGTCTGTGTGTGGACACTTTGCATAAATCGCTCGAAAAAACCGGGTTACCAAGTTATCGGGAAGGGGCAAGAATTTTAGGTCCAGGTCGAAAGGTATTTAGGGGTTGTCGAGGGCGTAGATTACTGCAAGCTTGTCAGATTTTTAATAAAATGACGATTTATACCTTATTTTAGCGATTTAAAAACATATGGAAATAACCTCATTTGCATACGAGGCGTTAGGAAGCTCATTTCGGTTTTTGTCATGCTATCAGTCGGTCGCTTTTGTGATTATTAGGGTGGAGAGGTTGGCGCTAACTCGCTAGAATTATGGAAAGTGCCCAGCCTCGAAAGATCTCCGCACAAAGGCCAGGGGTGAAAAGCCGCGTAGAGGCTTTTCAACCCTGGTTAAAATTAAAAAACATCGGGGAACAATTAAAAAAATGCTTTCCCCCGATAATGCGAAAGAACCGGGTAGCTAGCAGCGGAGTTTTAGGAAAAATAAATACAAATTACAGTACCTCAGCCGGTGCATCAGGCAGCTCTTCATAATCCGAGTTTCCGCGGCCTGGCTGGGATACGGTAGGTGGGGTGGGCTTGTACTGGAGAGCATTCGGGAGCTCGGCCTCCTTCTTGTCGCCCTCGCTGTATCCATCTTCTCCTTGATCATCTCCAGGAGCTGGAGAAGCCGGGGTACTGTAGGAGGGGCCGTTGTAGGACCCGGATGGAGACGGAGTGATGAGTTCGGGGATCTGGAAATGGGCAAATTAGCATGGATTCTTTGAGGAGTTGGGGAGGCAAGCCAGCAGAAATTCTTTGAGAAATCGGAGGGGCAGACTAGCAGAGATTCCTTGCGGAATTCTGGAAAATACAGTACCTCCTGGCTTCCTCCCCTCGGCAGTTGATAGGGCACCTCCTCAGCCGGTCGCTGATTTTCGCGCGATGACGGGATACTGTAGGGCACCTCGGCGGGAGCGGGGCGTTGCTAAAAAATTATTTTAAAGGAGCTCTAAGGCCAGAAAATTGTCCCAAATGGCCTCTGCTAGCTTGCCAGGCCTCAAAAATCGAGGGCAAGCTAGCGGAGACCGTTTCAACTTTGATTTCGCGTACCGTAGTCGCCAGCTGATCCTCCACATCCCCGTAGTCATCTACCGTATTCCCGGCGGTCGATTTGGGCTGTCCGTAGTTTGACGCCTCCCCAGTGGGAGGGTTGATCGCGTTTGTAGGCATGTGGACGCCTGAAAAATACGCAAAAATGTCGATTTTAAAACCTGAATTCGGCTTTTAGCAAAATTGGGAATTTTTTTAAAGGACCTCTTAAGTCAGAAAAAATTCTAAAAAATTCGTCGAAAAGGTGAAAAATTACATTTGCACCACGTCAGTCAGAAAAAAATTCTCAAAATTCTTAGAAAAGGTGAAAAATAATTTTTGAAAAAATTAAAACAGGGTTTTTAGCGAAATTGTACGGTTATAAAGCACCACTAACCTCAGAAATTCAACAATTTGTCGAAAAATTAAAAAAAATCCTTCGAAGAATCAAATTAAGCTTTTTTAGGTCCACTGAAGCCTTCAGGTTCTTTACATTGAAGCCAGCTTTTTAACACCCACAAAAAATTCAAAATTGATCTTTTAAAGGTACAGTAAAGGTTTTTTAAAGGTACTGGCTAAAAATCGCTAAAACCTTCAGAATTCGAAACAATACAAATCAACGTTTTTAAAGGCCCCCTAAAGCAAAGTAACCCACTCTCGGTGTACTCTGAAGTCTGTGGCTTGGCCTGTGCAGAGGAGCCTCCGGTAGTGCTGGGAGCGATCGGCTGGACGACCTCGCTCTCGACATCCTCATATTCGGAGACCTCCTACTGGCAGGTTAGCAGGGAGCTTTGAGGAAAGCGATACCTTATCAATGCCCTCTCGGCCGGCATTTCCGGCTACCGTACCCGGGGTAGATCCTTCATCCACATCGTCGTACTCGTCGCCGCCGTCGGCCACCTCGGGTTGGCGCTGAAAAATGAAGGTAGAGCAGGCTACCGAGATTTTTCGGGAACGAGAGAGAGAGAGAGAGAGAGAGAGAGAGAGAGAGAAAGAGCGAGACAGAGAGAGGGACAGAGAGAGAGAAAGCGAGACATAGAGAGATAAATTCTATCCAACAAATCCTCACCCCCGTGCTGCCGTAGTTGTTCGTCCCCGTGCCGGTGAAGCCGTTCGAGCCGAGGTCTGCAAAAAAAAACCCGATTAAAAACGCTCCATAAAATCCATAAAAATTGGGACTTCAGCAGTCCTTGAAAATCGTTCAAACGACGTACCAGACGTTTCCGGACGATTCTGCGAGACGAACTGGGACGACGCGACCATTGTCTGGGTAGGGCCCTGGTTGAAGCCACCGCCTCCACCGCCGCCCGTGGCGTATAGCGGATTCTGAAATAAAAACAGTCAATAAATATATGCCGTAATTGATTATTCTAGACTTCACAGGTCCTTTAAAAAGGCGGATTATATTCAAAAGCAGTCGAAGAGAACGCAAAACGGTTACTGGGCAGGCTAGCAGCCTTTCTTTGCTAGTTTCACGCTCCGATCTCATGCCGTAATGCCCTTAAAACGCCCAAAAAAAAACCCCGAAAGTTAGCAAAAGTTCTAGGAGGGCTAGCAGTGATTCTTTGAGTCCATCAGGCACTAAGTTACAGGTCGTAATCGATTATCCACAACTTCTAAAGACCTACAAAACATCCTAAAGGCCCTCTACCAGTTCCGTAGTCTATTTTAAAGGGCCATTGAAGCCAAAAATCCACAACACGCAAAACTGACCATATTGGAGAGCAGCGGTTGTTGCGGAAACTGGACGGGGTTCGGGGGTGGTGGCGGCGGGACGTAGCCACCGAGTTGGCCATATGATGGAACAAGAGGAGGGGGAGGAGGAGGAGGAGGAGCAGCACCTCCACCGCAACCTCCGCCAAGAGGCCCTGAAAAATAGAAATTATCAATTTTGTTAAGAATTCTCTGCTAGTCTCCCCCCAAATTCTTCAAAGAGCCTCTGCTAGCCTGCCCCGGAAAACGTACCTCCACATGGCGGCGGCGCAGCCCCTCCACAGCAGCTCGGAGCTGGAGGTGGCGGACAGCATGACGAGCCGCCTGAAAATGAAGTTTTGGAAGGCGTTTTTGGAGTTAACCGAATTTTAAGACAAAAATCTTCGGAGCGAGCGCTACTCACTATGATTTCTGAAACTACGCACAAAACTACGCAGGAATACGCATGCGAATAGTTTTTTGTAAAGTTAGAATGTTGTCATAATTGGTGTTCGTGTCGTTCAGAGCCGTGTTTCGTACTATGAGCCCATTTATCGTGTTGGTTTGCCAGAGCGAGTGCTTATCATCAAGCTATTTTGAATCTGCACTCAAAACTGCAGCAGAATTCTCCAAATAATCCCGGCTAGCCTGCCCCAAAATGCAAAAAAAATAACCGAAAAGTGGTAGTGGCGGGAGGGAGAGTTGTGGCAGGCAAATGCAGGCTGTCGCCGAGTTGGCGATCATCAAAATGCCGAGCGGGACGAGAAGGGCCCGTATCCGGTGGCCGGCCATTGCTGAAAAGCGGAAAATTATGTGAGGCAATCGAGCAGAGATTCTTTGAGGAAACGAGGGGGAATCGAGAGAGCTAGCAGAGATTATTGAGGAAACTGGGAAGTTCAAGGGAGTCTAGCAGAGAGCCTTTCGGAAATTCAGAGAACTGCAGGCAAGCCAGACAAATACCTTTTAAGGGTGAGAATGAGAGATAGATAGAGAGAAAGAGAGAGAGAGAGGCAGATAGACAGAGAGAGAGCGGGAGAGAGCGGGAGAGAGAGCGAGAGAGAGCGAGAGAGACCTTTAAAAACTCTGTATTCCGAGGCCAGATAGCAGGAAGCCTTAAGGAAACCCTAACAGCCGGGCAAGCTAGCAGTGACCATTTGGGGAATACCAGAGGTTATCTGGAGGCACGCCAGCAGAGAGCCTTAGAGAAATCTGACAGCGCCAGCTAGCAGAGACCCTTGCGGAAAACCGTATCCCCCTGGAATTCGTACAACTACAAGAAGCCGCTGAAGAAGCGGAAGGAAACAGGAGCAATATATCGGAGGCAGAAGAAGAAAAAGAAGGCGAAAGTGCCGACATTGGAGGCGAGAGAGAGAGAGAGAGAGAGAGAGAGAGAGAGAGAAACAAGGGGGAGAAGCATGCAAATACGATGACCAGTTGCCCCAGGGCATATCCAGGCGCTCTCAGGAGCACCGGGCTGGGTGCTGTGGCTCGAAACCCTTTCACTATGTGTTGGCAGGGCATGGGAGGTTGGATAGGAGCCAGGGGGTGGCAAAGGGTTTTTGCTAGCTTGCTCTGGTTTCTGTAGTCCGAAAGAATCGTTGCTAGCTCGCCTGAAGTGAGAAAGCAGGCATTTGTTTCCTCAAGAAACTCTGCTAGCTTGCCTTGCTGCCGGGAAACTAGAGAATCCCAAAGAAGCGCTGCCAGTTTGCCCTTTCCCAAATTATCCTTGCTAGGTTACCCTAGCCTCAGCATTCCTTAAAAATCGTTGCTAGCTTGCCTCGCTCAAGGAAAACAAGATCGTTAAAGTCTCAAAGTTTCTCCGCTAGCTTGCCCGACGTCGTTCCCCAAAAATGGCTGCTAGCTTTCCTAGCCATCGGCATTGCCCAAAAATCATCGCTAGATCTCTCAACCCACGAAACCGGGAATAATTCTCAAAAGTTCTCTGCTAGCTTGCCCTAGCGCCTGCTTCCTAAAAAACTCTGCTAGCCTGCCTAGTCCAGAAAAACAGACTACGTGGTGCCGAAAGAAACACTGCTAGCCTACCTGCTTAAAAACTCATTGGAAAATTCTTAAAGAGTCTCTGGCAGCTCGCCCTATCGCCTTTTTCCTGAAAAATCCCTGCTAGTGATTATCTCACCCCGAAAAAACCAAATAACAATCCGAATCGTCTCTGCTAGTCCTGTCTTCCTCAAGCTTCTCCGCTATTGCCTTTAGGTTCCAACATTTCCCAAAGAATCCCTGCTAGGCTGCCCCAATCCCTCAATTCCTCAAGAATCCCTGCCACACCCCGGCTCGAAAAAAGCAACACCTGTAACATCCCCCCTCCACCATGCCAATCTCGTATCCATAGTAGCAAGTCACAGTCGTGTCGCGTACCCCCAGGGCACCTTTTATATTCAAATGGGGGTGGGGGAGAAGCTGAATGGGTTGGATACCCTTGAATGAAACCACATACAGAGAGAGAGATAGAGAGAGAGAGAGAGAGAGAGAGAGAGAGCGACAAAGCGAGACATCTAAAAAAGCTACTAACATGGTATAGGCGCAGGCTAGCATCGATCGTTAAGGAAAACGGAAGGTCTAGCAGAGATTCTTTAGCCACCGAAAGCGCTTTTGACACAGGGAAGCTAGCAGAGAACCTTGGGGAATCGGACTAGGAAAACTAGCAGTGTCGCTTGGGGAAAGCAGACCCAGCCGGCAGGCTAGCAGCGGTTCCTGGAGAAATAAGCAGTGCTTTTCAAGAGGGCAAGAGAGCAGAGAATCTTGAGGGAACATGAAACCAGGAAGGAAAGCTAGCAGAGACTCCTTGATAAAAAGAGGCAAAACAGAGCAGAGGTCTTTGAGGCAATCGATAACAAGACCAATGGCGAGCTAGCAGTGAAAATTTGCGGAAATTATACAGTATCCCCCCGGAAGCCAGACAGGCACAGCAATTCGGAGAAACAATAAAACGCCTCAAAATGTCACAAGTGGGGGTTCCGGTCTCGGGTGAGACTGCCAACATTCCCTGAGGGCATCTAGGGGCGTGGTTTTTGCCTAGGTTGAGTTTTCAGTCTGTCTGCCCTTTCTGTTTGTCAGTCCATTCGACAGTAAATTCATCGCCCCAAGCAGGTGGCACCTCGCGATTTCACGGTCAATTTGAGGGGGGAAATGAGTCTCTCTCTCTCTCTCTCTCTCTCTCTCTCTCTCTCTGCTCTCTGTTAGTCAATCTGCCAGTTTGTCGCTCTGTCCATTTTTGTGACAACCCCCGAATTGCCCTAGGCGTCGATAGGTGTGTAGTGGAGCCATAAAATTCGACCTAGGCGTAACGGGACCGGTCTGCAAGTTTTTCTGGCAGCCTAGCGGAGGCCATTTTGGAACGGGGCAGCCGAGCAGAGATCATGGAGGCAAAATGGAGCAACGCTCATTGAACGGCTCGGAAAATTCGGTGCAGGCTGGCAGAGACCATTTAGGAAAAGGAGCTCAGACGACAGGGCAATCAGCAGAGATCATGTAGGAATAAAGGGAACCCCCGGCAAGCTAGCAAAGATCATTGGGGAGCGTAAAAAAATGCGGTGAGCCAGCAGCAAAACTTTTCGAAAAACAACTTACAACTTTCTTGTTAGGCAACTTTCAGAGTACCTTAAAGGAGCCTGAAAGGCCAACTAGCGGCGGTTCTTGAAGAATTGGGCCTGACAGGATTAAGCAAACTAGCAGAAACCATTAGCGAAAACAGAAAATTAATGGGACAAATTTATAAAATTCGATTCGGGGCAGGCCAGCAGAACCATGAGGAATTCAAAAAAGCCAACTAGCAGCGTTTCCTAAGGAAATGGGCCAGAAACTATTAGGCAAGCTAGCAGAGACCATTAGAGAAAAAGAAAATTTAATGGGATAAGGCAAGCTAGCAGAGATGCTTGAGGAACCCCAGGGTAAGCTAGCAGTCACCCTTTGCGGAACAAGGCGTCATAGATTACACGGCGCACTGTTCGAGGGCGAGAAAAGAATACAAGTGTCTGTGCCAAGAAGTCTTGTCCTTGAGCCCCATCTCAATCCTCTACTTCAAATGCCCGGAGGGGTAGGAAAGAGGAGTGCCGTTTCGAGTGGAGCGGGAACTCTCGCTCTCTGCGCTCTCTTTCTCTAGAGTCTCGAAATCCAGAATCTCTCGCTCTCGACCCCATGAGGTGTCGAGAGCAGGCTAGCCGAGATTCTTTGAGGAATTGGAGGGGCAGGCTAGCAGAGATTCCTTGAGGAATTAGAGGGGCAGGCTAGCAGAGATTCTTTGAGGAACCTATCCTCCGCATATGACCTCTGCTAGCTTGCCCGAGACCAAGGGTTGAAGCTAGGAAGTTTCAGTTCCGTGGAACTTCCGCTCCCGAACGCTGCCAAAAGCAAGAACGCCGAGACCGAATCCATCACTTTCACCTCGTCATCTACAAAAACCTGACGTTTTCGAGGAGGGCAGGTTAGCAGAGATTCTTGGCGGAAATGCGGTAGCTAGCAAAGATTCTTTGAGGAGCTTGAAGCGAGCGGGAGGTTAACAGAATTCTTTGAAAAATTTAAAGCGAACGGCAGGCTCGCAGAGATTCCTTGAGGAATTTAAAAGACCCGTAGATCTTTAAAGGATCTCTAAAGAAATAGGCAAGCTAGCAGAGACTCTTAGCGAACCCTTGGACCCTTTTAAAGGGCCACTGAAGCCAAAATTTCACTTGCAAACTAAACAGCTGATCTCTGGAACTACATCTTGCCCTTTTCCCGATTCCCAAGATTCCAGAAGCGCGTCAAGAGGAAAAAGCGTACTTGCCGCTTTAGGGCAACGCGTAAGTGGCAGCAGAGAAGATTGGGGAAAACGGGCCGGGGCAGCGGCAAATTGGCTGCCATTCCAGTCGACCGGAAAAGCCCTGAGACTGTCACGTCGAGACCTTCAAAAAATGGGGAGGTTGTAATCAGTAGACTGGCTTAGGGCAAGGGCAAGCTAGCAGGGATCATCAGGGAAAGTCGAAAAATTACAGCTCGATGGGGAGAGTGGCAGAGATCATTGAGGAAATGCGGCTTGAGAGAGCTAGCAGCGATCATTTGGAAACCCGAATTCGCAGCGATTTTAAAACGCGAGCAGCTAGCGGAGACCCTTGAGAAAAATAGGATAACGCTGGGCAAGCTAGCAGAGGTTCTTGGGGACGTCATTCCCACTCAAAACATGCCGCGGTGACTCGGAACTTGGCAGCGTTTTGAAACTGCCAAAGAAAATCGAAAATAGACCGCGAAAAGCGCATGAGGGCATGACGAGGAACTCCTCAAAAATCTCTGCTAGCTGACCGAAGCCTAATGCTAAGACTAAGCCCACCAAGCCTCAACCTAAGCCAATCCCAAGCCCAAGTCTAAGCCAAGCCTACGCCTAAGCCTATGCACTAGATTGGCATGCCGCCAAACGGAATGGAGTATCGAAATGGAATGGCAGGGCAATGGTTGGAAATTATCATCATCCTCATCAGCTGCCCTCCCCATCTCTGGAAATCATAAAAAAGGAAAATGCCCCCCAGGAGGAGTTCCGAGGGCATACGTGCTGACAGCCAAATGGAAGGAATAACGGCAGGAAAGAGCAGAGAGATGGCGGTGGCTTTGAGGAGCACGACAAGGGCATGCGAGCAGAGATCATTTGGGAAACTTGCAGGCTTTTGCAGGCAGAGGCTCTTTGAGGAAGTAAATTGTTGAGGCAACTAGCAAAAATCATTTAGGAAAGAAGCCACGGTCCTAGGGCGAGCTAGCAAAGATTATTTAATTGGGGACAGGCTAGCTAGCAGAGTACATTTTGAAAT